TCCCGAAGGGGCCCCCCACCGGCACACCACCCAGGGCTCAGCGGCTTCTGCGGTCCCTCGACTCGCGCTGGGGCTTCCGCGAGCCGCTCCTGCGCTGTCTGGACGTCTCTGCGCGTCTCATCCTCTGTCTCTTCTTCTTCTTAAAAAAAAGTCTGGACGTCTCTGCGCTCCTTCAAACTTATCCGAATATACATCGGCCTCCGTAGATTCACCTCGATCTGTATGGCTTGATCACCGCAAGCCGATTGGAGAGGAGTAGTGAAACCGTTCCGGAAATCACCGTCTCACTGTGCAAACCCCTCGAACCGACCCGCAGTAACAATATCCGCAGGGAACTGAGCCAAATCAAAAGGCGTTTTTCGGGCGATCCCGCGCGGCGCGGTCATCTCCCGGCAGCAAGAAGAGGCGAGCATCCCAAGAGCCACGGGGCGCTGAGCCAAATCAGAAAGGCACCCTTTCGGGTGATCCCGCGCGACGAGCAGGCGAACATCCCAAGAGCCCCCCCCGAGGGCCCCCCCCAGAGGGTCCGAGAAGCCCCCCGCCCCCCGTCATGAGGGGCCTCCCGGGCTGTTCCCCTGGCACATGGAGGGCACACGATGTAAAATGTGGTTACAGCTCCAACAAGCCTGAATTCAAAAATGCTTGATGGACCGGTTTTCCACCACCTCCGCCACCACCATGGGTAGGAGGAGGAGGAGGAGGAGGAGGAGGAGGAGGAAGAGGAGGAGGAGGGGGAGGAGGAGGAGGCGGAGGAGGAAAAAAAGAGGAGGAAGAGGAGGAGGAGGAGGAGGAGGAGGAGGAGGAGGAAGAGGAAGAGGAGGACATCTCCCCCGTCCAACCCATGGCACTGGTGAAAAATTGGCCCTTCAAATACTGACGCCTCGCAGCACTGCTTCCGCCGCCGTTCGCCGAGTTCCCGCCGGCCTCCGCTGGGCTTCCGCCGCGGGCGAGGCGCGCCGAGGGCCAGGCACTCCGCGTGGCCGACGATGCCCCGGGGAGCAGTCGCCCCCGAGACGGCTCCCGAGCTCGCTGGGGGTCCAAGGCTTGTTCTGCCCCTCGACTTGCGCTGGGCCACCGAGCCCGAGGATCTCCCCAGGTCCACATGGGCGACGATCAAAGACGAATCTCGCGCGGGATGGCGCAGCGACCTTGCGCGTCGGCTTGCGCGAGCCGCCGGCGTGGAACGCCGCCTTGGAGACGAGGGCGCTCACGCGCGACCCTACGCGAGAAGCTTACGCGCGAATGTCGGTGAAGACGAACCCGTTTCATGCGTCGCACACATGGACACCTGCGACATGTACCGCGGCCTGCCCGAATGTGCACCGACGCCTCGCACATGTGCGTCGCTGTCTGGCTGGGTCCCCACGTGTCGATCGGAGAAGACTCGTCGAGCCCACAAGGGGGCCCTCCCCTGAAAAGCACGAAAGCACGGAAGCACACGGGCACCGTCTAGAGTGCTGCGGGTGCGGCGCCGGAGCGCCGGAGCGCCAGAAAGCGAGGCCTGATCAGATGTCCTGCTCAATATTCCTTTGTGGCATCTTCCAATGTATCTACTGCCCGTGAAACTGGAGATCCTGCCCTTGAGACTGGAAGTCGAAAACTGGAAGGGGGGCCCTCCCCCAGGGCCCGCGGCAAGGTCCGCGGCGAGGGCCGGGGGCGACGAAGAACCGCGGGGCCCGCGTGCCGCAGGACCCGCCTCTGCTTCGCGGCGGCCTCCTTCTCTCCGAGGGCCCCAGGTGCGGGCCCCAGGAATGGACGCCAGAAGCACCTCCATTCCTCCTCCTCCTCCGCCTCCTCCTCCTCCTCCTCCTCCTCCTCCTCCTCCTCCTCCTCCTCCTCCTCCCCCCCCTCCTACTGTTCCTCCTCCTTTTCCTCCTCTTCCTCCTCCTGCTCTTCCTCCTTCTCCTCCTCCTCCTCCTCCCCCTCCTCACTCCTCCTCCTCCTCCTCCTCACTCCTCCTCCAATCTCCTCCTCCTCCTCCTCCTCGTGCCCTCCCCTCCTGCCATGCTCCTCCTTTCCTTTTCTCGCTCCTCCCCCCTCCTCCTCCTCCTCCTGCTGCTCCTCCTCCTTCCTCTGCCTCCTCCTCCTCCTCCTCTTCCTCCTCCTCCTTTTTCCTCCCCCTCGCTCCTCCTCTCCTCCTCCTCCTCCCTCCTCCTCCTCGTCCTCCTCCTCCCTCTCCTTCCGCCTCCTCCTCCTCCGCCTCCGCCTCCTCCTCCTCATTTTCCTCCTCCTCCTCCACAATTACTCAACATGAATACACTATCCTCCTTCCCCTGATGGCGTGCGGAAGATGGCGGGCACCCCTCCGCGTACCGTTTTTTACACAGGATTTAACGGAGTTGGGTTTTCGCTTGGGTTGGTTTCAACATGCTGCTCTCGCTGAGGCGCCGGCCTCATTTTCGGGATTCCGCTCGTTCCGAATCGTGCTCCCGCTGCAGCGTGGGCCTCATTTTCGGATCGGTGTTTTGCCTCCGTCGTTCAGGATGGCGTTCTCGCCCCAGCGCGGGCCTCTTTCTCGCTCGCCCATCCGCCCGCCACCACCGCACCGCGCCCCGCCCCGCCCACCGCCACTTCCACCCACCAACGCACGCACGCATGCACGCACGCGCACCCCCACCGCGCACCGCCACCACCACCCCACTACCACACCCACCACCACCACGCCACACCGCGTCACACCGCATCACACGCGCGCGCGCACAGACACACACGCACGCACGCACGCACGCACGCGCGCACGCACGCACGCACGCACGCACTCGCGCACCCGCACGCCAAAATCACCCGCACGCACGCACACACACAACACACACACAGACACACACAGACACACACAGGCACACAACAGAACACACCACATACCCACACAGACACACAGACACACAGACACACATCACACGCACCACACCAGCACACACACACACCACAGCAACGACGCACACGCACACGCACAACGCAACGCACGGCACACACACACTACACACACAAACACACCCACCACCACCCCACCAACCCCACCACCACCTCCACCAACCACCACCACCACCACCACCACCCACCGCCATCACAAAGCGCAACGCACGCGACCTTGCCCACCATCAAACCACCACGACGCCACAACACTTCTCACCACGTCACACGCCCGCGCAACACTTAAACAACACACACAAAAAAAAAACACAACAAACACACACCACACGCCACCCATACCCACCACCACCACCACCACCCCACCACCACCACCACCACCACCACCACCACCACCACCACCACCACCACCACCACCACAACCACGCACACACTCACGCACGCACGCACGCGCACCACCACCCACTACGCACGCGCGCGCGGAGCCACAGGTCCGCTACGACACGCGTCCGCGGATAGAGAAAATCAGCGCCATGGTAAAGGATGGGAGAGAGGGGTAGGACGTCAGATATGACGCGAGCGCACTGCGGGTGGAAAATACTTAGCACATGCGCATACGTACCCGTCCATCCCTCCTCCTCCCCTCCTCCCCTCCTCCTCTTCCTCACTTCCTCCTCCCCTCCTCCTGCTCCTCCTCCTGCTCCTCCTCCTCCTCCTCTATCTCCTCTTCCTCCTTCTCCTTCATCCCTCTATTATTCTTATTATTCATATTATAATCTTCTCATTTTTTCTTTTCCTGCTTTCCTCCTCTCCCCCTCACTCGTCCTCGACACCAAGGACTCCCTCCTCTTCCTCCTCCTCCGCGTTTTCCTCCTCCTCCTCTCCCCCTCCCCCTCCTCCTCCTCCTCCTCCTCCTCCTCCTCCTCCTCACATCCTCCCCCTCCTCCTCCCCCTCCTCCGCCTCCTCCTCCTCCTCCTCCATTTCCCCTCCCGCCTCTGCTAGACAAGCGTGCTCCACGACTCGCAAAGTAACTTCTGGCAAAGGGCCATGATCCGCCGCGGGGGGATGCACGATACTCTACATCGAAGCACACATGTGTTTTGTTTCAGACGTTTGCGAGTGGGCAATTTGCGAGTAGTGGAACGCGCTCGGTGATCCACCCTCCTATTCCCCTCCTCCTTCGTGGGAGAGTGAGGGGTGAGGGATGTGGTGGTGGTGGTGGTGGTGCATAGTTTCGGGCCATTGTCCACAATTCGGGCCCCTGGCGGCCGTTCGGGACGATTCTGGCACCCCCAGCACGCTCTCGACGATGCGCAGCTGCGGGAAGGTATCCCGATGCTGGGAGATCCACGGACACATCCGAAAACTTCCGAAAGCCTTCGAGAACATCTGAAAACCGTTGAGAGCCATTGAAAGCCATGGAAGACGAACCGAGCACGTCCGAAAGCCAGCGAAGACCTCAACGCACCGAAGAGAAGCTCTCAGAGCCCTCGAAAACTCCCGAGGACCTCCGAAGAAGGCCACAGAAAACAGCCGACGACTTCCAGGTCCAGCCTCCCCCCCGCGCGCGGGGCGCGGCCGGCCCCCGCGCCGTTCGGGCCCCAAGAATGTACAACAGAAGCACTTCCATTCCCCCTCCCTCCTCCTCCTCCTCCTCCTCCTCCTCCTCCTCCTCCTCCTCCTCCTCCTCCTCCGCCTCTCACTCCTCCTCCTCCTCCGCCGCCTCCTCCTCCTCCTCCGCCTCCTCCTCCTCAACTCCTCCTCCTCCTCCTCCTCCTCACTCCTCCGGCCGCCTCCTCTTCCCTCCTCCTCCTCCTCCTCCTCTCCCTCCCTCCTCCCCGCCTCCTCCTCCTCCTCCTCCTCCTCCTCCTCCTCCTCCTCCTCCTCTTCCTCCCCTCCTCCCTACTGGGAGAGGGATGGGGGTGAGAGAGGTGGTGGTGGTGCATATTTTGGAGGCCCCGCACGCCAGCCTTGATCCTGTTGCGGTGGTGGTTCCTGGGGCGGGAGGGGCCGCCCGCGACCACGCTCTTGCAGCAGCGCCCGCGCGCCCGCGCGTGCGCCGCGCGCCCCTGTGGTTTTCGAAGGGGGGGAGTCGTTCCTGCTGCTGCTGCGGAGGTGCAGCAGCCTCCTCCTCCTCCTCCTCCTCCTCCTCCTCCTCCCTCCTCCTCCTCCTCCTCCTGGTCTCTTTCCCTCCTCCTCCTCCTTTCCCCCCTCCTCCTCCTCCTCCTCCTCCCCCTCCTCCTCCTCACATCCTCCTCGTCCTTGGTTCTCTTCCTCCTCCTCCTCCTCCTGCACCTCCTCCCTCCGCCTCCTCCTCCTCCTCCTCTATCTCCATTCCTGTGTCCTCGTAAATATCTTCATTCCCCTGTCGTCCCCTGAGGCCCAGTGACTAGGGCGGATCGAGCGTATTCCGCCTGAGACTATCCTCACAATTTAGCCGATGTATGGACCCTGAATCTTAAAATGACAACAGCTTATAAACGGAGGCGGTCCGTTTTTCAAAATGTGGCTCTCGCCTTAGCGCCGCGCACATCAGATCTAAATTGCAAGAGCTTTCCGGATTGAGGCTGGTCGTGTTCAAAAAGTGGCTCCCCTAAGTGCCGCGCACATTCCGTTTATATATTTGCAATAGGTTCATGGATTGAAGCAGTGGTTTCAAAATCAATTGAATGCAATCGCTGTAGGGGCATATGAGGAGGGGCTTGGAGGGAGGTTTTATTCCAACAGTCATTGATGACTCTTTGGGTTCCCTCTGTCTTCCTCCTCCTCCTCCTCCTCCTCCTCCTCCTCCTCCACCTATTCCTCCTCCCTCTCTCCGCCTACGCCTCCGCCTCCTCCTCCTTCTCCTCCTCCTCCTCTCGTCGTTCTCCTCCTCCTCCTCCTCCTCCTCCTCCTCCTCCGCCTCCTCCTCCTCCTGCTCTCTTCCTTCTCCTCCTCCTCCTCCTCCTCCTCCTCCTTCTTCTCCTCGACGTAGCTGTGCCCACAGTATCTGGACCTGTGTGTCTCTAGGGGCGGATGTTTCCTTGTCCTCAGCACCACCTCGAGGAAGGTGGCCGCGATTGGGCCGGCGTCGAGCCCTTGTCCTGTCCCAGCGCTTTCGTCATCGTGCACCCTTCGGGGACGACTAGCATTTTCGTATAACACAGCCTCCACAGCTTCCTCCTCCTCCTCCTCCTCCAACTTCTCTTCCTCTTCTTCCTCTTCCTCTTCTTCCCCTTGCTCGCATGAAGGTTCTTATGAAGACTGATGTCATTATTACCATGACTTCCCGTTTACGAGCGCTTCGCGAACAAAGAATGCACGCGTGGCAACCTGAACACAGGGCATCACTGTGCACGCGCGCCCTGAGTGAGCGGGCCCAGGCGGATACATTCAGATACACGGGCCCCCGTTGGGCGCACCGGGCAAAGTATAATGTCATCGGCGCGGCATCACCACCATCATGATCATCACCATGACCATCACCATCATATGTGTGATTGGTAATGTTAGTGCGTTCTTCTGAATACCCTTCTTCATCATCATCATCATCAGCATCATCAGCAGCAGCATCATCATCTTCATCATCGCCATCATCAACAACAGAATCGGCATCAGCATCAGCATCAGCATCAGCATCATCATCATCCTCCGACTCATTTTCCTCCTCCTCCTCCTCCAACACCTCCCCCTCCTCACATCATTATCACCACCATCAGCATCATCAACAGCATCAGCGTCCGCAGCATCATCATCATAATCATCACCACCACCATCACCATCATGATCATCATCATCATCCTCCTCCTCATCATTATCATCATCCTCATCATCCTCATCATCATCATCATCATCATCATCATCATCATCATCGTCATCGTCATCGTCATCGTCATCATCAGCAGCAGCATCAGCATCCGCAGCAGCATCATCATCATCATCATCATCATCCATCATCATCACCACCATCATCATCACAATCATCACCCTCGTCATCGTCATCGTCATCGTCATGGTCATCATCATAATCATCATCATCATCATCATCATCGTCATCATCATCATCATCATCATCATCATCATCATCATCATCATCATCATCTGCAGCATCAGCATCACCATTAGAATCAGCATCACCATCATCAGTATAATCATAATCGTCGTCATCGTCATCATCCTAATCAGCATCACCATCACCATCACAGTCAACATCACCATCATCAGGATCATTATCATCATCACCATCATCATCATCATCATCATCATCATCATCATCATTGTCAGTATCATCGCCATCATCATCATCATCATCATCATCATCATCATTATCATCATCATCATCATCCTCATCATCGCCATTATCATCATCATCAGCATCAGCATCAGCATCATCATCGGCATCATCATCATCATCACCGCCATCATCATCATCATCACACCCACAATCATCACCACCACATTCCTCATCCTAATCCTCATCCTCATCCTCATCCTCATCATCGCCATTATCATCATCAGCATCAGCGTCGTCATCATCATCATCACCATCACCATCACCTTCACCACCATCATCATCCATCATCATCAGCAGCATTATCATGATCATCCTCATCCACATCATCACCACCACCACCGTCATCATCATCATCATCATCATCATCGTCATCATCATCACCATCGTCATCGTTGTCGTCGCCATCATCATCATCATCATCATCATCATCATCATCATCATCATCATCATCATCATCATCATCGGCATCAGCAACAGCATCATCGTCATCATCATGCCTCCCAAGGCTTCTCCCATTCTGGCAGTGAGGCGGAAAAGCCCGACGGCGTCGCGAAGGGGCGCCCTCCTCGTGTACACGATGGCTCCGGAGGAGTAATTGAAGAGCATGTGCCACCCGAGCGCAGCCTGGACGCACCAGCGCCGAGCAGTGGCGGCTAGACGCCAGGTGGAGACAATGACGAGGGGCAGCGAGGCGACGAGGCGCGGCGGGCAGTTCAGGGCGCGCAGCACGACAATGGCCGTGGCGAGGGCGGCGCGCGTGCTGACTGGCGTGCCACCAGTGCTCCGGCGAGGGGGAGGGGGTGGAGGAGGAGCGAGGGGCAGCTAGGCGCGAGGGGGCGCGAGGGGGAGCGAGGAGCGACGAGGCCAGGTGTGGAGAAGGAAGAGGACGAAGAGGACGAGGGGGATGAGAAGGACGAGGAGGAGCAGGATGACGACCAATATGAACCCCAGACGCTTCAACGATGTTAGTCCCACTGCGGTGATCCAAATTCTGAAAAACAGCCGCCCTCCATCGCTGAAACGGTTGTGACTATTAAGACGAATGTGCGCGGCGCTCAAGCGAGAATCACGTTCAGCAAACGACACCGCGCTCCATCGTGAAAACTGGTGCAGTTGGTTAAGACGAATGTGCGCGGCGCGAAGACGAGAGCCACAGTTTGAAAACGACCCGCTCACCATTCGTCATACTGCTGTTGACTCGAAGGCGAGCATGCACCGCGCTACGGCGAGAACCACATTTTGAAAACCACCCGCTCTCCATCCCTGAACTTGCTGCAGATTGCCACGAATAGTGAGGAAGACTCAGGCCAAACGCCCCGCCCGCCCTACCAACACGTCTGTGAGAAAACCGATACGTAACGATACCGCAACTCCCTGGACCTGTCCTGGGAAGCATTCAGACCAACATTTCGAGGCGAATCCGGCGGTGGCGACGAGGGCCTCCCAGGAGGCCCAAAAAGGGTAAAAGGAGGGAAGGGTAGCTTTTCCTACTCTGAGTCTAGGGGTGCGGCAGGGAGGAGCTGGGTATAAAGGAACATAAGGAAGGAGGAAGACGAGGAGGACGAGCGCCGACCAGAGCCTGGTACTGTCATCGGAGCTGCGCATCCCACGCGCCTCTCCATGGAACCCCTCCTCTTCCTCCTCCTCGGACGAGGGAGGAGGGAGGGAGGAGGAGGAGGAGGAGGAGGAGGAGGAGGAGGAGGAAGGAGGAGGAGAAAGAGGAGGAGGAGGAGGCGGAGGAGAGGGAGGATGAGGAGGAGGAGGAGGACGAGGAGGAGAACAAGGAGGAGATACGAGGCACGATGCAGAGGTACGAGGCACGGGGCGCGAAGAAGGAGAAGAGAAAGGGGGCGGAGCAGCAGCAGCGAGCCGACGACGAGGAGGACCACGAGGAGGAGGAGGAGCAGGGAGAGAAGGAGGACGAGAACAAGGAGGACTAGGAGACTAGGAGGAGGACGAGGAGGAGGAGGAGGAGGAGGACGAGAACAAGGAGGACTAGGAGGAGGAGGAGGAGAACAAGGAGAACAAGGAGGACTAGGAGGAGGAGGAGGAGGAGAAGGAGGAGGAGGAGAACAAGGAGGACAAGGAGGACAAGGATGAGAACAGGAGGAGGAGGAGGAGGAGGAGGAGGTTCGAGGCGCGAGGGCGAGGCACGAGGCACGAGGCAAGGGGCAGACACGGGGCGGGGGGCGCGAGGGAGTAGAAGGAGAAAGGGGGAGGAGCAGCAGCAGCAGCAGCGAGCCGACGAGGGGGGTGGGGCCCAGCAGCGGCGAGAACCTCAGATCACTACCCCTCCCTCGCGATCGCCTTGCTTTGAACCTCCTGGGAGGCCTCGTCGCCACGGCCGACTTCGCTTCGAAGCCCTGGCCAGAATGCAGCCCGTGAGGGGTCCAGGGAGTGGCAGCCTTCATACTGCGGAGACGGCAACCGACCACAACGGCATCGAGAACACACTCTGGGGGATGCCTTGCGCATCCCAAAAACTGCTGGAACACCGAAACCAGCTTCGTACTGGTTGTGGTCGATGTGGCGTCCCAGGACGGCCAAATCGACCGCAACCACGGCCATATTGGTGGTCACGTCGAGGTCGGTGGATTATCCCCCGATGGGGCCCTCCCGAACAATCCCCTTAGTTGTGGTTGTGATTCTTGCCCGTACATACCTTCACGAGTATCGTTTACTGGATCCCCATCCCCAGCGGCGTGGCCCGGACCCCACTGGCCGATCTACCCCCTAGATGGGGATACAGGTCGTTCCCTTCGGGTTTCGAGGGGTGTATCCCCAACTGGGGTGGTAATCTGGTGGGGGTCTCGAGGGGGACGGGGCTGGAGATGGGGATCGGTAAAACGATACGGACTTCAAGTCCCCAGAGAACCTCTAATACCCCTGCGCTCGCAGCCAAACCGTGGGGAGGTGCCGCACTGAGCCAGAGAGCAGTGCCCCGCAGCGGGGGGAGGCTGCCCTGGCCACCCGCGGTGCCAGATCCCTCGGACTTCTGGCGCCGTCTTCTTGTCCTGCGACGTCGGGTTCTGCAGACCTCGACTCCATCCTCGAACACGCTTGGCACGTCGCGGGCACCGAGGATGGGATCCTCCCTCCTCCCTCCCCCCTCCTCCTTCCTCCCTGTTCCCCCCCATCCCTCCTCCCTCCCTCCCTCCCTCCTCCTCCTCCTCTCCTCCTCCTCCTCCTCCTCCTCCTCCTCCTCTTCCTTCGCCTCCTCCTCGATCCTCCTCCTCGATCCTCCTCCTCCTCCTCCTCCTCCCTCTCCTCCCCTCTCCTCCTCCTCCTCCTCCTCCTCCTCCTCCTCCTCCTCCTCCTCCTCCTGCTCTCTTTCCTCCTCCTCCTCCTCCTCCTCCTGCTCTCCTCCTCCTCCTCCTCCTCGTCTTCTTCTTGTTCTTCTTATTATTATTACTATTATTATTATTAGTAGTATTATTATTATTCTTAGTATTATTATTATCATCATTATTGTTATTATTATTATTGGTAGTAGTATTCTAGTTTGTCTTATTATTATTATCAATGTTAGTAGTATCATTCTTGTCAGTACTATTATTATTATTCGCCTTATTCTTATTCTTATTATTATTACTAGTATTATTATGAATCGTCGTCTTATTGCTATTATACTTAGTATTATTATTATTCGTCTGATTATTATTATTGTTCTTATTATTAGTATTCGTATTATTCTTCGTCTTCTTCGCATTCGTATTATTATTCGTTATCTTTTTATTATTATTTTTTGTTATTATTATTCTTCTTATGATTAATATTATTATTGTTATTCGTAGTAGTATTACTATAATTATTATTGTTATTAGTACTATTATTATTAGTAGTATTAGTAATAGTATTATTATGCTCCTTCTTCTGATTATTATTATTGTTATGATTATTCCTCCTCCTCCTCCTCCCCTCCTCGTCCTACTCCGCTCATTGTCCTTATAGATAACTCCTCCCAGACCCACCCCGAGGCTGGTCGAAAGGGCGGGCCGGGCAGTTCGCCTGAAACTTCCTCGCCACGTGGTTTCCATATGTGGGTCTCCCCTCAGCGCCGCGCACATTCGTTCAAATCGGCCGACCTGGCGTGTGATCTTCAAAGGCCCTCAGAACAGCCTGAACCTCAATGCCTGAGTTTCAGCTCTACTGGGGGGGGTGTGCCGGGGTGGTTCTGCCGGGGTAGGGGAGGGCGGGGTCGATGTAATTCCCGGGGCGGAATCGGAGCTCCAGCTCAGTTCGGGACGGCCCCTTCGCCCAGGAGGGCCCCGTCATGGGCCAAGAGGGCCCCGAATCGCCGAGCGATCGCTACAAGACGCCCCACATGCCTCCAAGACGGCTCCAGAAGCCACCGGGATGCCCTCGAACCCCTGAAAAGGCCTCCCAGAGAAGGCTCAAAGAAGCAAAAATTGTCCCATTCCCATGGGAAACGTACAATGTTTGAATATTCGCCTTTCGGGCCTTCAGAGCGCCGCAAACGCCCCAAGAAGAGCCCCAAAACGGCCCAAGAAGCCGCCAAGAGAGCTGAGGGGGCGCCAAGACGGCGGAAGAAGTGCCGAAAACGGCCTAAGAAGCCCCCAGCAGGCCACTAGAGGCACCCAAGAGGCCTGAAGAGGCCCCAAGACGCCTCCAACTGGCCCCGAAGAGGCCCCCTGAAGCCCCCTAAAAGCCCCCAAGAGTTTCAACAAATGCACCCAAGACGCCTTCTAGAGGCCTCCAAGCGGCCTCAAAGACCCCCCACGAGAAATCCAAATCCGGCCCCAATGCTTCCACAACGCTTACGTCTGAACACAAGCGCTGCAACACAAAAGGTTATTCCACGCTTTCACATATTCTCCCGTCTTCGGTGTCCTTGACATCCATGATCTCACGAGGGCCCGCAGAGGACCGCGCGAAGGCCGCCGAAACCCCAAAAACAACGCGGGTCCCAGCAGAGACCGGCGATGCACAAGGAGGCCCCACAAAAAAATGCGACGCACATCGGCAAGATCTCATCCCGAAGAGGGCCAACACCTGGCCCCAAAGAGGCTTTCCGACGACCGTCGAACATCTCCAACAACCGCCGAAAATCTCCTCATCCTCGTCATGTTCCTTCTCCCCCCCCCCACTTCCATTTCCCGTTTCCTCCTGCTCCTCCTCATCCTCAGCATCCTTCTACTCCTGCCCCTCCCCCCTCCACCCCCATCCACCTCATCATGATCCTCCTCCTCCTCATTTTCCTCCTCCTCATCCTACTCCGTCGCCTCCATTCCCAATCCTCATCAACATCCTCACCGCTCGCCGTCGTCCCCGGTCATGACCGCCATCGCGAGCTTCCGGCAGCAACGGAAGCGTCCCGGATCGGCGGCATTGGCCGGAAGCCACTACAATGAAGCGAAAGCGTTCCACGGATTAAGGGGAGGTCGTTTTCGAAATGTGGCTCTCGCAGGCGCTTCACGCATTGAGGGCGGGTAGTTTTCAAAATGTGGCTCTCGCCATAGCGCCGCGCACATGTCTCTTCAAAATGTGCAAGAATTGCCCGGATGTCAGGCGGCTCCTTTTCACAATGTGACTCTTTTCTAGCTCCGCGCGCATTCTAAACATGTGCAAGAGTCTCACGCATTGAGGGCGGTCCTTTTTGAAAA